AAATTACAATTACTGAAGGGTTTCCATGCTCCTCATACTTAACAGTATCCCAACCTTAAGGGTGGGGGAGCAATGTTGATTCCCTACCCACCTCCCCCCCAATTTAAAATGTTAGTCAAAAAAATGTAGGAGGGACTGACCGTCCACTCAACTCAGCACTGTTTTGCTCGTGTGGCAATGTCAACAGAGGGTTAAAAACCTGATCTCCACCAAGATTTTAACCCATCAGGATGCTATAAAAAGCTCTGCATGTACTAGTGAACCCAGCCTACGCTTGAGTGATTCAGCATAGGCAAGAAGTGCATGCTTCAATGAAAAATAGTCACAAGTAAAATAGAATAAAAACCCTTTGTGACAATTTCTTGAAAGCTATGCTTATTACATTGAAGATTAATACAGTAAGAAAATTTGTTACATTTCAACTTATAAAACAAGTTTAGAAAGTATCACATTTTCTTATGGTAATAAGAATACTGTGCATGTCTGTAGAGCTAAAGGCGTAATCGGTGCTATTTGAAAAGTTAAAGCCATAGTCTCTCAACTTTGTTGCTTTCAAGCTATCCATTTTGCACTCCTCCAGCATCACCAAGTTTCCAAAGCACTTGTCAAGCCTATACCAATTTTATCTTTCATTTTAGTAGATCCAAACAGTCTGTGCCATACGCACAGAAGCAGAATCTTTACTTGTCAGAGACCAAAACACTATTCCTATTCAGACATTAACACTTGCAGAAGAGAGAATATGGATTTAATTGTTTACCATAAGAAAAGTGACATAGCCAACCAACCATCCATCCCCACCTGTGCCCTATTCTTTCCTTGTGTTTCTTTAGAGCCTTTTCAGCTATTTCCTGTGAAGCAAACTGCACGAAGGCCTCCCCCGTACTCCTCCCCTGGAAGTCCACCGGCAATGTTATCCCATTTGGCACGATTTCCAACCCTTCAACCCAAGGACAAATAACCCCAGTAGGGGGGCAATATTAACATCACAAGCCCAGTCATGAGTTTTTCTTAAAAGCTTTAAATACACCAGAATTTTTAACACTTTTAAGTGAATGGTATGTTGATTCTAGAACACCAGAAGAAAAAGCATGTCAACAGAAAGATCCACGATCACATACCATTCAGTTAATGTTCTTAACCCACCCTGCAGAGCACAGAAATGTTCTGAGTGTCATGGACAACTCCTCAGACAAAGCATCTAATACAGGGTGCATTAAGAAGTCCACATATTACAAACCTCTTCAATTCTGTGAAAGCATTTAAGATGAGCTTTTAAAGAGAATTTCAATTTGAACACAGCAAGTTAAACAGCTTTTTATGTAAAAAGTATGTTTACTAAAAGCCAACTCAGGTAAAACATTTAGATATCAAGTTTCAGCATCAATTTTTTTTTAATCTTTAGGAGTGCTTAAGTAAGAAAAAATCATGAGGGTAATTTCAGAAGTATTAGTTTCTGAACAGAAGAGGCACATTCTGTATATTAAGCACATAAACAGTTTTTCAAGCCTGAATCACTCTTAAGAAAGCACCACGTAAGAAAAAAGTTAAAAATGCACATGCTTAAGAACTGCTCTTGTTCACAACATATTACTGATCCAGAAATCAAGAAACAAGTTTTGAAGCTGTAAAACTGGAAGTATTTCTACTGTACTTAAAAGTAAAACAGTAAGCTCAATGGTATCTTGTTATAGCAAAACATTCCAGCTAATTTTACACTCACAGTTAAAAATCTACTACTTTGAAAATACTACCAAGTGAAATCCTAAATAAATCAACAGATTTCATTCTTAGTCATTTTTAGCAGTATTCCAGTTCCTAAAATATACAACAGCTGCAAAAAAGGGAGAATGAGTCAATAAAAAACATTATCTCTTCATCCACAAAAACTTCAAGCTAAACAACATCAAGCAGTTGGGTTTTCTTTTCCCCTCTAGGAAG